ATACACCCTAAACGAATGTGGGGGAATACAAGGGACGGACATGACTGTCACCACCTACCGCCTACCCCTCAACCATGGAGAAGGACAATGCATTCAACTGTCTCTCCACACTCGAGCACCACGCCCGTGTACATAGAAACTACCCAAATCCCCCTGGGACTCCGACCCTACGGATCGACAAATAAAAGATTTGGGCACACCCGAAGGCATGATGAACCGCCACCTCAACTTAGCTCTAATTCCAATTATATGAGTTATATGAATGGTTAAGCATAAAGTCATGTATGTTAATCTCATGACATAGAGACTATGCTCTAGCTCATATGTCAAGATCATAACATAAAGACTATACTCTAGTTCATAAGTATGACTATAATTATAAGATAGGGACAAAACTTTGGAAGAACTCATATTCCTATTCATACCAAGAATCTCTTCTTTCAAGGAGTCAAGCCCTCCAAGATAGCTTTGCCTGTCTCTAGACAACTACTAAAAGGTAAAAATACAAGAGAGAGTAATGTGTTGCTCCAAGAGAGGTGTGTTGAGAGGGGAGCTCTACCCCTCTATTTATACTAGCTCTATGGCGGTTTGGAGAAGATATCTGGCGGGAACCCCAGTCTCCACCGCCTCTTCATGTCGTCCAGGCACCGCCATCCGAAGCTAGGGCTGAGAGGGGCAGGTGGCGGTGCGCCCGCACCTAGGGTGCACCCGTACCCTGACCACCTTCTCTTGCTTGCCGCCTTTGTGTGGTGGACTTTGGACTGGACCTGGGCTACTCCTTGGGTGGTTTCGTGCCCAAATAATTGACTTGATGGGCCTTTCTTATCATTCCTTTGCGCAATTCAGTGTTATGCTTTGCCGGAAAGCGCCTTTTGGTGTATTTTCCATGTATTCATGTTTATGTCCTGCAAAACAATAATATCCAAATATATGTGGAATTGGTCAATAGTAAATGCATATGTGCATAAGATTGCTAGTTTCTCCTCCTTTTTGTGTCTTATTTGGCGGGTAAAATTGATCGTTAAGGACTGCCAACAACACCCTTGTGCATCGTCGTCGTACGTGTATTTCCTTTTTCATTTTGACCTCGATTGATAGGAGTGTACGACGTTGGGTGCAAACTTAGCGCAATCCCATCCCATAGTTTTCATGGGTAGTTTCTAGAGGAGAAAGAGAGAGCAACAAATATTACGAAGAAACTTTCTTTTTCAACCCATAGTTTTTATGGGTAGTTTGCATGTAGAGAAGAATTGAATAACACCACGCACAGACGTGATAGGCTGTGGCAAACAACTGAGTAGCCAACATGATTACATGTCTTGATCTAATGTACGTCTCATGCAAATATATTGATAGAGAGCGATATATCAACATCTCCTTTGGTGCCATGATGGATAATCTGTCCACCTAAGATAGATATTATAGCTAATGTTGAAAAATATCATTACTGTAAAAAATGATACTACACAACAAAGGATTTGAGAATTGAGATCGATTAAGATATTGGATAAGCGTATGGTACTATGGTAAAACACATACATGGGATTAAGGTTGAAAAAGGACAGAAAAAATCTCGTTCCGACCCATTCTGTTTTCTACTTTGTTCCACCCATTTCCATATTTGTGGGATCTTACGGAAACGAGATAGGGGTTTTCCGCCCGTTTCTGTGGGATCCCGTTTTCATCCGGAATTGACCCATATTTGTTCGGTTTTGCATCCCGTTTTCAATCTATGTCAAATATATCTAGAAATTGGTATGTTCATAAACCTACTAATCACCAATTATGCATGTTAACATGTTAAAAATGGCATGTAATTTCGTAGGTGTATGTTATTTTGTGACTTTGTTCCTGTATACTTGAGAATAGTTGATCATATTATTCTAACTTAATTTTTCGGCTCTCCGTTCGTATTTGTCTGTTTTCGTATTTCGGTATATCTCCATCCGTTTTTTCCCGAACCCGATCCCGTTTCCACTTAAAATATAGAAACGGAGACGGGAGAGGAGTTTTTGACGTGGAGAGCCGTCGTCCCTGGCGGGTGACGGTCGAGGCAAGCAGGAGGCCAAGTTCACCGTTACTGCAGTGGCGGCGCGGCACTTGATCAACGCCCTGTCCCAGGCTGATGAAGAACCTATCTGCAGTCAGGCGAGACAAGCGGCCTGCCATGCACCACAAACATGATTGATATGATCCCGCAAGACTACATGCTCCTCCAAGTACACAAACCTAGGGCAAGCGCATAAGCAATGGTATAACTAACCTAAGCACTTCGTAAAGCAACTACACTAATCACCGTTGTAATCTTTAAACACTTTGGTGGCTAGAGCACTGGGGAGAGTGCCTCAACACTCCTACAACTTCAGCACACTCCAATACACTTAAAAGGACCATCCATGGGGGTATATATATAGGCCCCCAAAGAATCTAGCCATTGTGTAGCAAGCCACGGCCTTTGCGTACTCACCGGAAAGCTAGCCATTGAACTAGCAGTTGGATCTGAGGGTTTTTCTCAGCCGCTTCTCCGATGCATATCACCGGACAAATCTGGTGCCTCAATATGCTCTCTGGAATACCTCTGAACGCCACCCTTATCTCTGGTGCTGGCTTCTCCGGTGACCACCACGTGCCAATGTTTTGTCTGGTGCTGCCTGCCTAGGAACACCAGACCTACCTTTTCAGTGTTCTGTTTTCATTATATTCTATGTGTTGCAGCCGCTTTCTCTGGTGCTATCCCCTTGTAGCCACCGAGGGTCTGTTTGGAACGCAGAAATCAAAAACACGAGAATAGGAAAAAACGCACAAATAGGGTGAGTGTGTAGTGGTAAAACTGAGGAAAGGAAAAACGCGGAAAATAACTAGAAGGGGTGTTTGGAACGCAGGAATTCATAACACAGAAAAAACGCAGGAAGTAACATTATTTTTTGTTTCTCTTCTCTTGCTGTCTCGGTCTTCGTGAATCCATTGGTTTGGACTTGATGTTTTGTTTCCCGTGAAATGAATGGAGGTTGGAAACTTTCCTTTGTTTTACTGTTGAAGTTTCCTTCATCCCAAACACCAAAATGCAAAACATTTCCATAGGATTGGATTCCTCCATAATTCCTTTGGATTTCCTCCAATCCAAATAGGCCCTGAACTTATCTGGTACTGTTGATGCAGCATTGTTTCCCCCCGTGTCTTCGTGTCTTCGTGTCTGGGGTTCAGTACTACACAAAACTTATGGGAGACGAGCGTTTTCGATTTACCGAGGTGGGCATCACAACCGCCTCAGTTCAAAGGCCTCCGTAAATCACTTTTCTACCGAGGCGGTTACAGTGTCCGCCTCCATAAATCATTTTAAAAAAATAAAAAAAAACAAAGCCCACCAGCGAGCCCGTTTTGGAGCCCACCGGCAAGCCCACCTACTCCGCACGGTCCCACCGCCGCCACCGAATGATATGGGTAATTTATAAAATGTATTAGAAGGTTATTTTGAATTACCTTTCTTAATGGCTAAGGTATAGTTTAGTTATAAATTTGGGGAGTTGTTTTGAATTATCTTTTTGTTGATGAACCATGAAAACAATTGCGGCTGTCGAATAGATGGATTCCTGGTTTCACATGGTTGACAAAATCATCTTGTTTTTTAGGCCGTCGGACCGCCGCGCTGCGCCATCGAGAGTGCACCGCGCCGAAGGGAGGAGAGAGGGGGCTCCCTGTGCCGTGCCGGAGGAGGAGGGGCTGGGCTGCGCCGGAGGAGGAAGGGGCCGAGCCGACGTGCCGAAGCGTGCGAGGGAGAGGGAGAAGTGTGGGAGAGAGAGACGGCTGAGGGAGGGAGAAGTGAGAGAGAGTTGGAGAGGTGAGGTGAAACTCTAACTCCTATATATATATATATATATATATATATATAGGTGGATTGGATACGGGCTTTTGCTGGGCCTCGTATATATTTTCCCAGGCGGGCCTTTTAAGAGGTTCGCCTAAAAAAATGGAGGCTATTTTTGGAGACGGGCCTTCATAAATAGATTTTTGGAGGCGGTACTTTTTTTATCGCCTCCGTATATCAATTTTGAGAGGCGGTTTATTGAGATCGCCTCGGTAAATGAAAACGACCGCCTCCAAAAATCCCTATGCATTTTACGAGACGGTTGGATTTTATGACCGTCTCGGTTAATGTTTGGGCAGTGCCTCGCAAAATCATATTTTTGTAGTAGTGGTTGTTCTATCTTGTGTTTTGGACTTTTAGCATGTCTTGTAAGTTTTCAACATGTCTTCTAATGTCTTGCTTGACGTGTTGGCCATCCTGACCGTCACGTTGCCTATGTCCAAGCCAACCTTGCATCAATTTGAACTTTCCCTATATACTAGCAAACTTTGTTAGTCAAAATAGTCATGTTGTTCATCAAACACCAAAATCACATAATGGCCCATGCAAGGTGTTATTTTTTTTACATAGTGTACGTGTAGTGTAGTGGTAGGATGTGAATACACACAAGGTTAAGTCTTTGAAGTGCATGGTTTTTAATCTTTTGGAATATAAGGTGTCTGACTTTGTTAATAGCAAAAGACAAATTTTGAATGCTTGTGGATGGAGGTAGTATCTGTCTTGTACAGTTCAGCTTGTTCTCCATGTAGTAATTGGGAAGTTCTATCTCCAATTTCCTCGGAGATATACTAGTCGTATCAAATTGGGCTACTCAACTGATAGTCTTACTAACAATCTTGTGCAATATATATCTAATACCATATTTCATATATATACATCTAGGTACTTGCATTGGTATACCAAAAGTACTCCTACAGTCATATCGGCCAGAAGTCATTTTCATGAACATGTACGAGATTCAGTTTTTTTCCACAAATGACTTCAGCGATTTTGACAGGACGAAAGTTATCACTCACCCTAACACAACCACAAACCTGCTGCACAGAGCTAACAAAATCCTGAAGGTTTCTCTCAGCCGGCACACCTGCATCTGCCGCTTGCTGAGCTCTCTCTTTCAAAGCCTTCACTCTCTCCCTTATCGCCATTGCTTTCGTACCTGACCCATGACCAACTCAACGCACCTTGCCAGCTCCATCCCAGCTAACACACCCTCGCTGTTACGCTCTCCTCTGATGCCGATCTCCCGCTCCTCCTCCACCAAGTGCGCATTCGTCAGCTGGTCGAACATGCTGGGCACGCCGACGAGTGGCACGCCGGCGGCCATGGCCTCCATCGTCGAGTTCCACCCGCAGTGCGAGACGAAGCACCCGACCGCCGGGTGCGACAGGACCTCCGGCTGGTTGCACCAGTCCACGACCATCCCATGGCCGCCGCTTCTCTGGGCGTTCTCCAGGACGTGGCGTGCACCCTCCTCGAGCCCGTCTCTGCGGGCCAGCAAGTATGGCCGTCCACACTGCAGGAGCCCTTCCACCATCTCCTCGATCTGCTGCTTGGTGTAGCTCGCTATGCTCCCGAACGACACGTACACCACCGACCTCTCCGGCTGAGCTCCGAGCCACTCCATGTACCTCTTCTTGTCGGCGTCGTCGTGCTTGTACAAATGGATCCGTTCTTCGTTTGATGAGCCACCGGCGGCGACCATGGGACCGACGGCGAACACGTCGAGATGCTTCTTTATCTACGACAGCACGGTCGCCTCCAGCTCGTCGAACGTGTTCACGAGAACCTTAGGCCGCCACTGGTCCATGCTGTCGAAAAGTTCCCGGAACATCTCGACGACGGACTTGGCCAGCGGGCTGCCCGTCGTGTCGACCAGGTAGGACGGGAAGTCCCGTATCCGGAGAGGACTGCGGCGTAGCCCGGGCAGGCTGACCTCGTATGCGGGGTCGGTGACGTGAGCGGCAACGACCTCGCCGTAGCCGTGGAAGTAGTGGTACTCGGCGGCGAGGACAGTGGCCGGCTGGATCCAGTACACGTACGGCGAAGGGGACCCCGTGGCGCGTCGCGACCTCGACCGCCGCGGGCACAAGCAACGTGCACACGATGCACGTGACGGGCCTCTCTCCGGCGGCGAAGCGCGCGAGCATGCCGGAGAGGCTCTCGGTGCTCACGCGGCGCCTGCGCGCCCAGTTCTCGGGGGTTCTGGGCAAGGAGCCGTCGTCGAAGCCGTCCGAGTGGGGGACGTAGGAGATGACGCCGTCGCTGGCCTCCTCCTCGCCGGCGGCGTCAGCGTTCAGCGATGAGGGGAACATGCGGCGGTGGGCGGCGACATGCACGGAGAGCGTGGCGAGGATGGAGCCGTCGACGTCGTCGCTGAGCTGAGCGAGGCGGTGAGCCAGGGCGCGCGCTGGGTTGACGTGGCTCTGGATACCGTAGGCTACCACCAGGAAATGGCGGCCGTGCTGGCTGGTGTTCCTCGTCGGCCATGGATCTGCAGAGTGATGGGAGGAGCGCCGACTAGAGGAGTGAAATATGAGTGTGCTTTATTAGCTCTGAGCCTGGACACTGCGCAGGGTGTGTGGACGGCATCTTGATGCCCATGAAGCTTATCCACGCAGCAGGTGCCTTAAACTGGTATCTGGACTTGATCACTGTCGGGTACGTCGAACTAAGCACCGACAATGGTAATACTATATCACTGCCGGGTAACTTGGACCGACAGTGATAAAGGACCAGCATTGCTAGTTGACTGCGACCTGGCAGTGATATACAGCCATCACTATCGATTGCGTTGGACCCGGCAGTGACTTCCTGTGGACAAATTCATTTTAGTATTAAAAATTAGCAAACATTAACCAAAATTGTTTAAAAGTTTGATATGATGATGGTACCATGTACATGTTTCAAAGTTTGAATTGAGTTATTTGAAACTATATTAGAAGTGTACACATGTTGTGAAAAGTGTAGGCCCTCTCTTAAAATCATTTGAATTTTTTTTGGCAGGCATATGAACCCCAAATGTGCTTCCATGATAATCAATTTCGTAAGTTCAAATTGTAAATAAGTTTATCACATTAAGCCATATCGTTATTGGTAACTTAACTTCAATCACTCTTTGATATATAATGCAATACTACACACACATATATAATCCCGTGGTATAACAAATTTGAGTTCAGTGCAATCTGAGCTTCAACTTCATTATAGTAATACAACATGATAATCAATTTCATAAGTTTTTGTTTTAAATAAGTTTATATATTTCAATTGAAACATTATGTCATATCGGTATTATATTCTTAACTTAATTAATCACTCTATGATATATAAAAGAATACTATACACATAAATAATTAGCATCTTGACGTCAATGACCTTTTGAGTAAATTATTAGCTTATACAGAACAAGATCGTGATCACTACCGGAAATGTCAAATTTGCCGAGTGTTTTTATGTTTGACGAGTGTTTCTCCTCGGGCACTCGGCGAACAAGTTCTTTGCCGAGTGCTGCACTAAAAACCCTCGGCAAAAAAAACACTCGGCAAAGAGAAGATTTGCCGAGTGTCAAAAAAAACACCCGGCAAAGAGGGAGTTTGCCGAGTGTTTTCTTTTTTGCACTCGGCAAAGAAATAAAATCTTTTTTTGAGAAAGAAGAAGAAAAAAAAATTAAAAAAAACTTTGCTGAGTGCCCAGATCTGGGACACTCGACAAAGAACAAAATCTACTTAATTCCGAGTCTACAGAAAGGAGGAGAGGTAAGCAGAGCCAATGACGTGCGGGGTCCATGAGCGAAGTGGCCGGCTCCTATTGGTTGCTGTGACGTGGTTGGGAGCTGGTCATTGGGTGCCTTCGGTGCTGCCTCATCCCTTCCCATCCACGTGCACCGACTTTAGAGAGAGAAAAAGAGAGAACAGAGAGCAAGAGAAATAGAGAGAGGGAGACGGCAAGGAGAAAGCAAGCAGGGCGAGGCGGAAGTGCATGGCGCTGGCGGGAGCAGTCTACAATGGCGACGCTTGGCGTGCGAGAGGGCGAGAGCGGAGCGGGGAAGCAGAGCAGGGGCGGCAGCGGTGCTTGCTGCGGCACGGTGGAGCAAGGCGAGGGCGCGGCGGACGACATCTTCCGTCCTTCTCTGTTGTCCGCGCACAGGAGCAAGGGAGAAGAGGGCAGGGCAGAGCTGGGGGAGAAAGCGAGAGCAGAGCAGAGATGCAGAGCGGAGGGAGAAGGGGGAAGCAGGGGAGCAGCGCGGTTCGGCTCGTCGGCGCAGGGCGGTGGCGGCGCTTGGTGGCTTCACGGCCGCGCGTGAGGCAGGCTCCCGGCGATGCGGAGCAGCAGCAGCGGGTGGTGGTGCAGATCCGCCCTCCTCCCCTCCCTCCATGGCTCTACCGGCGGGTGGCATCGCGGATCCTGTGGGATGGAGCCACCACGGCGCGGATCCGGCGGAGAGGTGTCCTCCGGCGGTGGATCCGGTGGGTTGGATCCCAGTGGCAGTGGATCCATGGATCTGACGGTTAGGAGCCCTCCGGCGGCAGGCTCCACGGCGAGCAACGCGGCGGCGGCCCCTCCCTTCCCCTTCTTCTCCTCCCGGTCGGATCTGGCCCTTCCTCTGCCGGATCCGGCCGATGGCGGCCGGATCTAGCGGCGGGCGGCGTGGTGTGGTGGTGGTGGCAGCGGCTTTGGTGGTGGTGGTGGCCGGTGTCGGGGCGTGGTGGTGGTGCTGGTGGTGGTGGTGGCAGTGGTGGTGGCCGGCGGCTGTGGTGGTGGTACCGCCGGTGACTTTTTTCCCCAAAAAAATGTTTGCTGCGTGTGCTCTGTTGGAATCGTTCGAATCGTTCGTGAATTGATCATGGGTGGTTGAATCGTCTGTGAACCGATTGAACCGTCCTCCTTTTAGAGAGAGCGCATCCCCTTTTATAGATGAAGGGGACGGCTTTACAAGAGAGAGTGTGAGAGGAAGAGTGTGTGTGCTACCTAGTCTTTTTGCTCACGCCGTCGGGTACAAGGCGGTTTTGTCGGCGCCCGCAACACTGTTGATGTCGGATGCATGTGATAGGCTCCATCGTGATCTTCTAGTATGGCCGATGTCGGCGCCTACCATACTGTAGAATAAATGTCGGCGCCCATAACACTGTTGGTGTTCTGACATGTCTAGAAGGATATAAATTACCCTTCTGATATGACTTGACATTATTGTCCTGCAGGTGTGCAGGGTACGGTCCTTGATATTGCAGTTGACTGGAGCGCCCTGCCTTACTTGCTCTGTCCGTTTCATAGGTCTTCACCTAGCGGGCGTCTCCGGTCGGTCGTTCCCCAGTCGGCTCTGGCCTCCCGATCAGAGAAGAGCTGTAAGCAGAGGCTCGGTGTATCCCCAGTCGGAGTCAGAGGCAAGCGTCGTCCCTTCTTGGCCAGGCCTTCCGGACGGAGAGGCGGGCCGGAGTCGGAAGCGAGCGCTGGAGTCGGAGGCGAGCTGGCCAGGCCTTCCGGTCGGAGAGGCAGGCCGGAGTCGGAAGCGAGCGTCGTTCCTCCTTGGCCAGGCCTTCCGGTCGGAGAGGCGGGCCGGAGTCAGAAGCGAGCATCGGTCCTCGGTTTGGCTAGGCCTTCCGGTCGGAGAGGTGGGCCGGAGTCGGAAGCGAGCGTCGTTCCTCTCTTTGACCGATCGCCCTTCTGGCCTGTCGTTAGATTTTTGGGCCGGCCAGGAGTTGCGCGTCGTTCGCATCGTCGTCTGTTGGATCGAGCTTTTACTGGGAAACAGGTCCCTAAGGGACCCCGGGTTTATGAACCCGACAACTACCGATCAAGATTTTCAACAAACCATCAAAGTATTTTTTTTCTCCTAAAAAGTGAGTTTTATGTGTAATGGCATAGGTGGGTAATTTTCTAGAAAACAAATCCAATGCGCAATGGATGGATAGAGTCTTTGATTTGGTGGTCGGATGTTTCTAATTAATATGAGAATTTCTATTATTTATCTTTTTTAGCGTATCTGATGAGAATTAACATGAAGAATATATTGGGACATCTAATTAGTAATAAATTAGTAATAGTAAGATTTGTTTGCCTAAAGATCGCGGGGCCTGGTCAGCGCGGACTTTAAAGCACCACTGAGCCAGGGAAACAAAATCTAATTTCATTTCTCTCGGACTCGACTGTTGTCGCGCTCACCTGGGCCAAATTAATAGGCCAAATAGTTGTTTGAGAGAAAAGTAACCAATCATTTAGAACGATCGTAAAAACAGTACTTTCTCCGTTTTTTTTTTTTTGTTAGATGTCGTATTAAATCAATGGCTTAGTTCGGCTTAGCCCATATCCGGCTTATTCGGCTTCTTTTTTTAGTCGGAATAGTGTTTTTCTCTCCCAACATTTCAGCCAGAACAGTATTTTTTCATCCAATTTCAGCCAAGATTTAGTAAGTCTGACAGTGTTTTTCAGTCAATTTCAGCCAATATGTCTTTGATCATTAACTTCAAAAGATTTATATAGATTTATGTCTATGTTTTTATATTCACTATGAGAAATACTTTCATAATATATAATTTGTACGTTTATGAAATTATAAGAATTTTTTTAAATGTTGATCAAAGATAGTAATATTTGACTCAGGACAAAAGAACTTATGGAGTATATACTGCAAGTAAAACTAAAATTGACATCGTACTTTTGACTTTGACGGAGTGTATATCAACTGAGCCATCAGTGAACTTATTGAGGGGACCGTGCATGCTCTGTACTGTGGTCATGATCAAAGGACCAAAGGGATTATTAAAAGCACTGTACATGCACTTCAGTAAAATTAAATTACTAAAACTAATTCATACATGATCAAGGGATCCGTATCTTCCGATCAAGCTAGAATTATCAAAAGAAGTCGTTGTCATGAATGGACCTGCAGATTGAAGAATTCGCTACTATAGCCTTAATTATATTGATTTTGACATTGTTTTGACGAGGTCCCAAAGGTTTCTCTCGGCAGACCCGCCTGCATGGCTGCCTGCGCTGTCTCTTTCAAGGCCTTTGCCCTTTCCCTTATTGCCACTGCTCTCGCACCATCACCCATGACTAGCTCAATGCTCCTCGCCAGCTCTGTCCCTGTCAGCACACCATCGCCGTTTCGCTCTCCTCTGACGCCGACCCCCAACTCTTCCTCGACCAAGTACATGTTCGTCGGCTGGTCAAACATGTTGGGCACTCCGACAATGGGCACGCCGGACGCCATGGCCTCCGTCACCGAGTTCCACCCACAGTGCGAGACGAAGCACCCGATCGCCGGGTGCGACAGCACCTCCAGCTGGTTGCACCAGTCCACAACCATCCCCTGGCTCTGGCTCTCGCTCTGGGTGTCGTTCTCCAGCAGCTGGCCATGGCTGCCGCCGCCTTCGCCATCGCCGCCGTCGACACCGTCCCTGCGCACGGCCAGCAAGTATGGCCGCCCACACTGTCGTAGTCCTCCAGCGATCTCCTCCATCTGCCGCTTGGGGAGCTTCGTCACGCTCCCGAACGACACGTACACCACCGAGCTGTCCGGGTGCGCCTGAAGCCACTCCATGTACCTCTTCTTGTCGTGCTCGAACAGATGGATCCGGGCGTCCGTGGCGGACCCGACCATGGGGCCGACGGCGACGACGTCCAGGTGCCGCCTCATCTCCGCGAGCGCGCTCGGCTCCAGCTCGTCGAACGTGTTCACGAGCACCTTGGGCCGCCACTGGTCCATGAACTCGAACAGCTCCCGGAACAAGTCGATGGAGGCCCTGGCCCTGTCGCTGCCCGACGTGTCGGTCAGGAACGACGGGAGGCAGCCTATCCGGAGAGGGCGTCTCAGCCCGGGCACGGGCACCTCGTACGCCGGGTCCGTGGCGTGGGCGGCGACGAGCTTGTCGTGGCCGTGGAAGTAGTGGTAGCTGACGGCGAGGACGGTGGCCGGCTGGAGCCAGTACACGGCGAGAGGGATGCCGTGCTCCCGCGCGACGTCGAGCACCGGGAGCAGCACCATCGTGCACATGATGCACGTCACCGGCTGGCCGCGGCCGGCGAGGCGGGCCACGACGGCGGAGAGGCTGTCGGCGCTCGCGCGGCGCCTGCGCGCTCTGTCCTCGGCGTCCGTGGACCAGGACAACGAGCCATCGTCGAGACCGTCGGAGTAGGGGACGTAGGAGATGACCCCGTCGTCGGTGGTCTCCTCCGCCGTCGCCACCGTTGCGGCGTCCAGTGATGAAGGGAACATGCGCCGGTAGGTGACCAACGGCACGGAGAGCGTGGCCGTAATGGAGCCATCGACGCCGCCGAGCCGTGCGAGACGGCGGGCCAGGGCGCGTCCCGGGTTCACGTGGCTTTGGACGCCGTAGGCCACCACCAGGAAATGGTGGCGTCCAGCCTCGTCGTCGGCCGTGGAGAGAAGTGTTCGACTGGGGGGGAGTGTACAAATGCTCGATGTCCATGCCGGGATATATATCTCACTATCAGAAGACAGCAGTCTGAATTGGCACACACTACTTTGCATTGTGACGTTAGCAGTGACATCTGACATATACTACCCATGCTTGTCTTCTAGGAGTAGAAAAAGACAGGTAGCATGCAGGTTCACGGACTACCTGCTACCAATGCCAAGTGCTTGGATGTTGACTCCTTGTTTAGTTCGCGAAATTTGGAATTTGGGGCTACTGTAGCACCTTTGTTTTTATTTGGTAAATAGTGTCCAAACATTAACTAATTAGGCTTAAAATGTTCGTCTCGCAATTTTCCACAGTTTTTCTTTTTGTCTACATTTAATGCTCCATGCACAGGCCACAAATATTCGATATGACAGATACTGTAGCAACAAGGCCTGAGCAAGCTTCACTTTAGGCAAGAAAAACGAGGAAAGGACAATATGTCAGATCGTTTGTGCATGTCATTGACTGACCCCGTGACACCCACATGTGCAAAAAAAAGTCAAACAAGTGTCAAATCCGTTGCCTAGTCACACAACCTGTCGCTGCCGTACGAGAGGAAAAGATAAAACAAACCACTAAATTGCGCTTGCATGTGAGTAAAGTTTAAGAATGGCACATCGGATGTTATATTGGGATGTTATATGGGTATGTTCGGATAGTAATAATAAAATAAATTACAGAAGTTATCAGTAATCCGCGAGACGAATTTATTAAGCCTAATTAATCCGTCATTAGCATATGTTTACTGTAGCACCACATTATCAAATTATGGACTAATTAGGCTTAAAAATTATCTCGCAAAGTAGTCGCAATCTGTGCAATTAGTCATTTTTTAGTCTATATTTAATACTCCATACATGTGTCCAAACATCCGATGTGATAGGGAGTAAATTTTAGGGGAGAAACTAAACCAGGCCTAATTGAAGCAATGAAACACCTCAGAATGCAAGCAGACTCGTGAGTTCTGAAATGAATCGACAATGTAGATGGATAAACTAAACTGAATTGAACCAAGACAACCTCGTGGGGTTGGAAGCTTGATAGAGTAGTGGCAAAACATTGAGCATTTGAGCTCACCTAACATGGACTAGGGGTGACTGGCAACTCAACGATACCATAGGAAAAAAATCTTGTGTCATCACTTGTGGCATCTCTTGATCTCAAGTACTTTGTGTCATTTACCTTCTTAGACTTGAATTGAATGCCTCTCACCCTAGGTTGCAAATCCCACTAGCTAGGAAGTTCTTATTAGGGCTCACTTGTGTTACTAATTAGAATTGCGTAGTGTCTTTGACTTTTAGTGGTCACCATGTATTCACTACTCCCATCTGGTCGGTTTCTTAGATACTACAATCTTGCCTTCAAGGTTGATGTTAATGAGATTACCAAGAAGGAGAAGAAGGGCAACAAAGATCGTTGTGCCTTCATCAATATCAAGTGATTAAGATGAAGACTTTGTCCTTCTCGTGGAGAAGACTCGGCGCATGCTCTCCAAGGCAAGTTCAAGGGAGAAGAAAAAATGCTAATAATGTTAGCTATAGAAATTTAAGTATTTGTATCCCTTACGTAACAAGCACAAGATCATGATAAGGGCTAGGAATGATGAAAGTGAAGAAGAGGGGAAGGCCAAGAAGCCACAAAGAAGATGACAACAAAAAGGACGATGACAACAAAAAAAAGGAGATTATAACAAGAGCCTTGTTACCGAGTGGGTGTCTGAGTCATGTGAACATTCAAGATCAAGTGAAGAGTACATGACTCCATTCCACTACCAATATTTATCATGTGGCTTATGGCGAAAGGGGTGAGGTGATGAGAGTGATGATGATTTCTCTCCTAGTGACCTAAACTAAATTGAATGACAAGACATCCATCAACAAGAAACAAAAGAGCAAGATCAAACAACTTGAGAACTCAAATGGGAAGAAACAAAACAACAAGGTCATACAACTTGAGAACTCAAATGGGAACACATTAGTGCTATTTTTCAATATGCTTGCAAAGCACAACTAGAGTAAAGAGCCAAGTGAGCAAGTACTCTGAGTTACTTGCCAAGTACATTGATTTGCTCAAGAAGCTTTATGAGATAGTTGTGGATAGAAATCATACTAAGGATAGCTACACTACCCCAGTTCTTCACATTACTATCGGTTCAAAACCCTCCTTCACTGCCAGATTTTGAACCGATAGTGCCATACCGGCAGTGATGAGGGGGGCTCATCACTACCGGTTATAAAAAAACTGACACTGATGTGGTTTTCAGGAAATCCAAAACACAGGCTAAAAATAGGGAAAATTTTAATTCCGGGAGAGGCCCCATTGGACAACCACACGGTCACCCATCACAAGTCATGCGATTTTTCACACGAAAAACACGCGCTTCGTGGCCACCGGCGCTCAAACTCCCAACCTCCTGCTTTGCGTGTTCGTCCCCTAACCACTCCACCTATAAGAAGTTTGTGTCTGAAAGAATCAAGATGCCCAAGAGGGGGTGAATTGGGCTAATTCTAAAATTCTTGCGATAATTAAGCCCTATACTTAGCCTATTTTACCCTTTTGTGCCTAAAAGTGTTTCTATTGTTCTACCGCATAAAAGTTTTGCACCCTAGGTTCCAATCCTACTCTAGCATGACAATTCTAAGAATGTAAAGACATAAATTGAATTGCTCAAATGTAAATGCTCAAAGTAAAGAGAGAGAGAGGAACGCGGCAATATTTTTCTAGAGAGTCGTCACTCCCCACTAGTCCTCATTGGAGCACCTGCACAAGGGTGTAGCTCTCCCTTGATCCGCGCAAGGATCAAGTGCTCTCTACGGGCTGATTCTTCAACACTCCATCACGGTGAATCGCCCACAACCGCTCACACCATGACTTGGGCTATCCATAAGCTCCCCGGATGATCACCAAGCTTCCAATCACCACCGAGCCGTCTAGGTGATGGTGATCACCAAGAGTGACAAGCATGAACTCTCACTTGACCCAACCAAGCCTAATGAGAAGAATGGATGCACACTTGCTACTCTCTATGCACTCATGAGGTCCTTAATCTTGGATTAGCAAATCTCAACAATCCCACTAGGCTCATGCTCTCCCTTACACACCGAATGGTTTTCTTAGCTAAACAAATGGGGCAAGAGAGCCTCAATACACGAGATGGAGGGGTATAAATAGCCCCAAGGGATGGAACTAGTCGTTGACCCTCCACTCAGCTTTTTTGGGGTCACCGGACAGCAAGCTGGCACACCGCCACCCCTTGTCTGGTGCCACCCCAATGGCTACTTTTCAAAGTGACCGTTGCGGGGCTGGCACCGCCACACCCTAGGCGGTGCACCACCACTACAATGGCAGTGACCGAGCCGCCAAAACCCCTCTCTGGATAATTGCAGTGGTGGCACCGCCACCCCTAAGGCGGTGCCCTGTCCAGTGCCACTCCACGCAAAGACATCGAGAACCGCATCCTCTTGAAAATTATGGCGGTGCCCCGTCCGGTGCCACCCTGTGCTTCGACCGAGATGGGTAGCCTCTAGATAAATAGGGCGGTGCACCGCCACACCCATGGTGGTGACTAGGGCGGTGCACACCACCCTGTCCGCTGCCACCAGCGCTGCAAACATCCAATTCAATCACCGTTTTGAATCGCTTTCCAACTTTCGATGATCTTGGGCTTCCTTTGAGCTACCTAGCACTAGATTTAACAAATGTGCACCACATTCTTCTCACTAGACATGCCGAGGTCAAGCTACCCAACCATGCCCCCCCTTTATAGTACGGCTAAAGGAAAAACAAAGTCTTACAACTAATCTAAGTGTCTCTCAACGCCAAACGACACTTAGAACTAGTCCGTCCTTAACCTTGTCGTATATCCTTTGAAAATCGAAACGATTTCCATCGATAGGGGCATGAAAACCATAATTGCCCAATCAATCACCATTACCATGACCTAACTCAATTTGCCTTTGCAAAACACACGTTAGTCATAGTAATCATGTGTTGTCATTAATCACCGAAACCCAACTAGGGGCCTAGATGCTTTCAATCTCCCCCTTTTCGGTGATTGATGACAACACAACCTCGAGTATGTGTAAAAAAGAGATTTGAGGTTTTCAACCGCTTGGTTTGCATGAACTTATGGCAATAAGGGCAAAGGAGTTAGAACAAGTTCATGCATACCAAGTCCACAACATGTACTCAATATATAAGAATTAAGCACGAGTACAAGAAAGTAAATGCTCATTTAACATCAGAGTAAGGCGGAAGCATAGTAAATGAGCAACACAATTGAGACATGATATATAAATAAAACAAGAAGTCAACATGTCTCCCAAGGTACCACACATGTAAACACACATATAATACAATGCATAGTGGAAATGTAAACATGCATGCAACAAAACATGGGAGTAGCACACAAAGATATCAAATCTCTCTTATAAGCTCTCCCCCTATCTCACATATTCTCACCCTCTCCCCCTTTGGCATCAAGCACCAAAACCTAAGGGTCCTAAGGTGGGGTAGGAGCAGTAGTGACAGGTGCAAAGGTGCGCGGTGTAATCTCAAACTGGCCATAGTCAAAGTATGAACCAGAACTCTATCTCTCTGGCTGACCGATGGGCACTGTAGCTGCAACTATCACTGGCACTGGCACTGGAGCCTCTAAAGTAATAAGTGGAGGAGGCTGACTCGCTGGTACTGCCTGCTGTTGTGGGTCAATAAAGGCAACTGAGGAAGGAAGTGTGTCACCGGTGCCTGTCTGAGGTGGGGTTGTGGGTAGCATAGGAGCTAGAGTAGATGGGACTACCTGTGAGGACTCTCTTGTGACCTGGCTATGTGTGGCAGAGAGTGTCTGAGAAGTCTGAACTGCTGTAGTCACCACGATCACCGATGGTGTCTGAGTAGCTGTGAGCGGGAAAGGCTGGGACATGCCGGTAATCCTCGGATCCACACCCTGAGCTGCTGGAGAGGAGAAGTTGAGTGTCATGGGGTGGATAGGAGACACCTGAGGAAAGCTCTAAAACTGAAGTATGTTGTACTGTATAGCTAGGGCTAGGGAAACCTGCTGAACCAGTGC